ACACACACACACACACACACACACACACTCACACCTCTTAGCTAGAGGCTTTTCTTTCTCTAGTTTAAACATGTCACTCTTCACAGTTCAAAGCAGTAACTCAAGCTGCTCTGCTCTTTATAAAGAAGATACAAATCTTATATGTGCTATAAAATCTTCACTATTATTATTATATCAAGTTGTCTTATTTCTCTAAAATGGACTGTATTCTTTCAAGGACCATTCGTGACAGGTTGTGACAATTTATCACACTTTATAAGATACTGCATAAAATAACTCCCCCACCCCACGAAAGGATAATGATTAATCATTGGGTAATCAATACCAACTTGGCTTCTTGGATGTCTTGCCTCTAAATCCTCCCGCCTGTGGTGGGTGGAGGGGTGTCATAGTGTGATGGAAGAAGATTAATATCTTTGTTGTGTTGCAATTCCTGCCGTTTACCTTGAGCTCAATCCAGCTGCCATATTAAATGTTCTGTCTGTACCCACCTTACAGTCTTTCTGGTACTTGCTCCACACCTCTTTGCTGAGGCCCCCAGAAGCCTCACATGGTCTGTCCGGAGTAACAATGTTGTGGTTGACTAGAGCTGACAGATGTGTCCGAACCGTGGACAGGTGTCGACAGTAGGCCAGCCCTGATGGACAGATGAGACGTGGACACACACAGCTGAGACTAAGCAGTGATAAGCAGTGATTTGAGTATTAAAACCCCTTTAACGGAGAAAAAAGAACCTCAACAAAAGCAGCAGAGCAAAGCTCCCTGGGCGTATACAGTGCTATATACAGTGCTATCTCAAAGTCAATGAAGACATCTCCTGTTGGAAATTCCTACAATCTCCCAGAGTTCTACACCTCTCCTTCAAGGTCATCTAAGTATGACATTTACCTTGCTGCATACTGAACTAGGAAGGTGGAGACATTAGGCACTGAACGTCTCTGGTGGCTTGTGTTTTTTTTCCCTCTTTTTATTATCTAGCGTGGTCTTTCAGTTTGAGAGCATGACTTATTGATTTTGTAATGCTGTCACTCAAAACCCTGTGCTTGCTGAAATAGCCCCCTGTTTGTGCTCAAACTGTGTGCTTGCACTCAGAATTTTTGAGCTCCAGATATTGGTTGGGAATTGTGACAGACTTGTTGCACTAAAAAAATCTAAGCCCAGAAGAAAAAAGGGGAGAAAAATTTGGAAAGGGGAGAAAAAGTGCAGACATTTCACACATGCACAGAAGCAGTGTGCAAGGAGAAGAGTCCTGTCACGTTCTCAAACTGAAAGACCACACTCTTCAATTGAGAGAGGAAAAAACCCATAGTCAATGATACAACATGAACAATACAGATGAGGTATCATAATGCCCAACGTTGACATAGCTCAAATTATCTTTCGTCTCCATTTACAGACAAGAAAAGCTGAGTTATGCTGCAGAATAGCCTAAAATCTAACTTAATTATTTGCCGACATACACTATTATATACATTTGTGAGCACATCCCGGACACTTCTCTTCACCTGCCTGGATTTCACCTGCACCGAGCGGACCACGTAACAGAGCTCACGGGGATAACGAGGGGAGGCGGAATCTGCTTTTACATTAACAAAGGTTGGTGTACTGATGTCACGGTTCTAATCAAATCATGCAGTCCTCACCTGGAGACATTATTTATAAACTGTAAACCGTTTTATTCACCGTGGGAGTTTTCCTCGTTTATTCTGGTTGGAGTCTACATCCCTCCTCAGGCTTGTGTAACTGAGGCGTTACAACACCTGACCGATCAGATAAACAACTTGGAGAAAAAACATCCGGACTCTCTGCTCATTGTTTTGGGGGATTTTGGCAGAGCAAAGCTCAGCCATGAACTGCCTGAATATAAACAGCACATTAAGTGTCCCACCAGGGACACTAACACTCTGGACCATTGTTGCACTGTTCTAAAGGACTCATACCACTCTGTCCCCCGCGCAGCCTTGGGACTCTCTGATCACTATCAGAGCGTCCCAAGATAGTTCATCCTATCCCGACCTACAGGCAGAAGCTGAAATCTGCTAAGTCTGTGGTCAAGACGGTGAGGAGATGGACCTACGACGCCATAGTGGAATTACAAGCTTTGACTGCACTGATTGGAGTGTCTTTGAGGCTGCAGCCGCAGACCTGCATGAACTGACTGATACCGTGACATCATACATCAGTTTTTGTGAGGACATGTGTGTGCCCACCAAGACCTTCCGCACATACAACAACAACAAACCCTTGTTCACTGCAAAACTCAGGAAGCTCCGTCAGGCCAAGGAGGAAGCCTACAGAAGTGGGCACAGAGTCCTGTACAACCAGGCCAGAAACACACTGACGACCGAGGTGAAAGCAGCTAAGAGGAGCTACCCTGGAAAGATCAAAAACAGCCTTTCAGCCAACGACCCAGCGTCAGTGTGGAAAGGCCTGCAGAACATCACAAACTTAGGAGACCATCCCCCAACACTGCAGTGAACCATCAACTGGCTGACGAGCTGAATGTGTTTTACTGCAGATTCGACTCATTCACGTGGACTTCAGTTCGGCGTTCAACACCATTGTTCCAGACATCCTCCACATCAAGCTCACCCAGCTCACTGTGCCCTCCTCCACCTGTCAGCGGATTACAAACTTCCTGACTGACAGGAAGCAGCAGGTGAGGTTGGGGAGCATCACATCCAGCAACCGGACTATCAGCACTGGCGCCCCCCAGGGGTGTGTGCTCTCCCCACTGCTCTTCTCCCTTTACACCAACAACTGCACCTCTAAAGACCCGTCTGTTAAACTCCTGAAATTTGCAGATGACACAACGATCATTGGCCTCATCCAGGACGTTGACGAGTAACGGCTGGTCTGCTGGTGTGGTCAGAACAATCTGCTGAACACGCTCAAAACTGTGGAGATGACGGTGGACTTTAGGAGAGCCCCCCCCACTCTGCCGCCCATCACCAACAACTCTGTGACTGCTGTTGAAACCTTCAAGTTTCTGGGCTCCACAATATCCCGGGACCTGAAGTGGGAGACCAACACAGTCACCATCATCAAAAAGGCCCAGCAGAGGTTGTACTTCCTGCGCCAGCTCAGGAAGCTCAACCTCCCTAAGGAGCTGCTGTCACAATTCTACTCTGCCATCATTCAGTCTGTTCTCTGCTCCTCAAACACTGTTTGGTTTGGATCGGCCACAAAACAGGAAAAGAACAGACTGCAATGAACAATAAGGTCCTGCAGAGAAAATTACTGGTGTCAGCCTGCCCTCCATCCAGGACCTGTACTTGTCCAGAGTCAGGAAACGGGCAGGTAACATCTCTGCAGACCTATCACACCCTGGATACAAACTGTTTAAACTTCTCCCCTCCGGAAGGCGCTGCAGAAAACTGTACGCCAAAACATCCCGATATAAGAACAGTTTTTTCTCTCAGGCTGTCTCTGTGTCGAACAGCTAAAAACTGGACTCAAATATCAGTAAATAACATCACCTGTATAATCTGTACATACCCATATACTGTGCACACTGTATACGTATATTTATTATTTCATCCTTGCAGTATGCACCTTTGCACCAACTATTGAGCTTTTTTGTACATGTACATAGCTTTTGTTTTTGTCTTTGCTCTTGTTTATTCTATGTTTGTTTGTTTTTTTCAAATGTTTGTACTAAAAGAGCAAAGAAAAACCGGAGTCAAATTCCTCGTTTGTGTTCACATACCTTGCAATAAAAGTGATTCTGATTCTGATTTATATACACATTATCACTTAAAGTTGCATCAAAATCAATGTATATTCCAACTCCTTTCTTCAGACCGAGGTTGTATATAAAAAGATCCTTAGAACTGCACACTACTTACTCTTTTGATTTAATTGGAATTATTATATATTGAATAACATTACAGTCAGAAAACATATTACTCTATCCAGACAAAATTGCACTGAGCCACATATTAATTTTGAAGGGGAGTTTTCATCTCCCCATTGTCACAGAGTGTTGGCTATAGGAACTGTTGGGATTTCTCTGTCTAATATTGTAACCTGACTCTGTAAAGTGCCTTGAGATGATGTATATTTTGATTTGGTGCTATACAAACAAAATGGAATTGAAGTGAAGGTGTTGTCATTTCAGAGTTCAATTTTTCACAAGTTTCCTTTTATAAGAAGTGTACGTTAATACATATGCATTTACTATAGTCAAATGCCTCTATTCTTATTCATTCTTGTAACAAATAAACAAATAAATATATATCAAATCAAATTCCTTACATCATTACAGACAGCATAGTGACACTGTTGAGAGACAATAAGAAGAGGCGGTAACACTTTATATTATGGAACACATATCAACCATTAACTAGTTGCTTATTACCATGGATATTAGAGGCAAATTGGCTCTTTATTAGTCATTATAAAGCACTTATTAATGCCTTATTCTTAATGACCTTATTCTGCCACTACTCCATTGATTAACAGTTTTCCCTTAATAATCTCCTAATTACTGCTTATTGATGGTAAGTAAGGGAGTTGTTGTACATGAATTATAATCAAGTGCTTGGATATGTTCACTTTGTGTGTTCCCTAATATAAAGTTTGATTTGAGTACAAGCATTTAGTGATTAGTGGTCCCTTAATAGATGAGGAGTAAGTTGACAATATGTTACCTTGTGTTACAGCAGCAGATATGTGTATACCAACACAATTCATCAGAGAACCTTAGTATTCAGAAACAAGTTAGCATAAGTAATTTGCTGTGGTAACATGGTGTACTTACATCCATAAAAGGCTCTGGAGACGATCTGCCTCTTCATGTTCTGGCAGAGCATCTTTAGAGGAATCCTGGTGGGAAAAAAGGTTACCCATTATCACCATGGTAACATCCACCATGGCTAGTCTTCAAATTATTCCTCTGATATGGTTTGCATAGATACTGGCTCAATGAAATCTGTGATTTTAAAGTCCCTTTCTTTTGGAGGATGAGGTCGGATGTTGTCGCCATGGTGATACCTATTCACCAATAACTAGTTGCAAATTAGCATAAATATTAGGAGCATAAAGGCTCTTTATTGCAAGATATGTTTTGGTCAGCATGAAGTCTAAAGAGGAGGCAACTTTAGAATAGGGTGAAAAGTGAAAAAAAAGTCAGTCATTTACGAGCAAGACCTCAACCTAAAATGAGGAACATATTATGAATAAGATGGACTGGATTTACAGTTATTTCGACATTATTAAAGTATGTGGTTGTGTGTTTTGTTTCATGAGTATAGACCATTTTCATGAATGTCTTATACGTACTGTAAAGCATATTTAGATTGTAATACATTCACAACCAATTCCTCACTTACTATCACTAATGTTTTTGTCTGAAAAATTAAAATAAGGCACAAATAAGTGCTAAAAAATAACTAATATGTGACTAATATAATAAGAAACTCATTAGTTTTGAATTCATGTAACTTTGTATAAAGTGTAACCATTATCAAAATATGAGAACACTACTGCTTCTAACATGCATCCCGGTGGCAGCACATTCAGACACATGAAGGCTAAAAGAGAGAAAAGCTTTGGGTTGTGTCTGTTTAAAAGACTTGAGTCTTGAGACGAAGTTAGATTTTGTTGACCACAGATGCTCAGACAATAGTCCTGTGTAGTGTAGCTGTACACTGACAACTGGGCCATTAGGAGTTTATTTGTTGTTGTTTTATATTATCTTTGTGTATTTTACAAAAAGAAAAAATGTGTAGGACTTGAAGAACATCTTTTCAAGAAAAATGTCTTGGTCAATCTTTAAATTTACAAGTCAGAAATAGTGAAAACAACTTTCCAAAGCCAAAGCTGACTTTTTGAAATTGATGTTTTATCTGACCAAGGAGAACATTGCACAGCCTCTCACCCTTAAGTGATGACATCATGATGTTAGATAATTCCTTTAAAATGGAGTCACCTGTCATGCTTCCCACATGATAAACCCCACTCCCCCAGTCTGTTTCTAATAGTAAATTATAATGAAAAAGACCAAATGCAGTGCGCATAAACATGTAATGTAAGTGCATACGTGTGAATGTCTGATGGGTCGTGTATGCAGGTACAGCCAGCTGGGTAGTCGAATGACACACTGCTACCAGCTGCGGAGCAGTACTGACACAGGGACTCATGAGCGATTACTTCAGCCTGTTGCCATGACGATGGGCTTCCGCCAAAACCCTGCATCTCCATCATTTCCCCATGGTCTAAACCAAAGAGAATGAAAGTAAAAAAACAGAGAGGTCTCAGTGCTGTGAGACACAATAGACAATGTTGTTTTCATGTATCACACTCTTTCACATTTGCTATGTTTTATGTCTTACATATTATGACATAGGTCCCTCAGCTCAACCATAAATACATCTTTCCATGTATTGCTCCTTGTTATTCATGACATCAAGAGATGAGTTGATGAATGGATATTTTACAATCATGTTACATGTGAGAGCTGCAAAAACAAGTGTAGAGAGGAAACCAAAAGTGAAGGGGGACACTTTAGGAAGCAGGAACGGTGCTGTAGGAAATACAGGCAGAGAGGATGCAGGAAAGCCATGCTGGATCGGTTCATTCAGAGGGGAGAGAGAACACAGCAGAGCAGAGGGACGTTCCACACCAACAGAAGAGATGAGGAAGTGGAAGAGGAAGAAGAAGAGAAGTGAAAGAGGAGGAAAGGGCAGGGATGAGGCTGATGCTCAGGCCATGCAGGATGCGTAAAGCCAGAACAAGACAAGAGACACCAAAAGAAATCATCTCAGAAACAACAAAAACAAATGGACACCAGTAAAAAGGCACACAAAGGGGAGGAAAAAAACATAAAAACTTCAACATTAAATATATGCTCTTCACCTTAATTCTTCAGGTTGGAGCTGATGACCTGTCATAAATATGAAGCTGCATTTTGGTTGTTTAATAACCCCCAAAAAACAAATAATATTTAGAACAAAAAAAACAAACAGAAAAAAATGCTGGAGCGAGACCAACATTTGGCCTAGTTCCCTTTGCTTTAGGACTATATGTGATCAACAAGTGTTTTTGGGCTCAGTAATGCAACCCTGCTCACACAAGGACTCCACTTCTCTACTACTGCGGAACCCCACAGGACCGTAATGAGAGGGGTGGAGGAGGGGACGAGGGGAGGGGAAGAGGGGTGGTGGGTTTAGTGAAGAATTACAGTGAACAGCATCACAGCAAACGACTGCACAAACAGAGGAGAAACAACCGAGGAAGTCTGAGAAGAGCAAGAGAGAAATCAAAACAAACAGAGTAGGAGACTGATAGAGAGGATTTTCAATCACAAATACGCAGGAACACACAATCGTTCTTTAAAGAACAACAAGACGGATGCATATTTCCCATGCAAAAACTGTCAAGCATGTTGCAAGTGAGAAATGAAAAGACAAAAAGAAGGAAACCGAATCAAGTCAAATTAAAGAAGTGAATAAAAACGAAGCAAATTCTCAAGGCAATTTTTGGTCACGAAAACATAAAACCCAACAGTGCTGATATGTGGCAGTTATAAAATATAAGGCAGTTAAACCTGCAAATCCCAGAATGTAAGGCAGGCAGAAAGCCTTTCACATAAATGAGGAGACCTAGGTAAGTTTGAATCAGTGATGAAACCAGTTGGCAGACAAGTCTGTTCATCTGACAGCGTGTCTCCAGTGTGCATTCACTGTAACGATCCCAGCACAGCAAATGCATTAAATTGTGTCATTGAGAGTTGGGGAGAAAAGAGAAGAGACAAAGAAAGAGTAAAAATCCAACAGGAGGGATGTAGAGGAAGTGTGTTAACAGCTGCACAGGCATTTACTGTATGTCTGTCAATATGTGAGACAAAGACAACTTCTGACAGCAGGATGCTCTTGTGCCAGTTGACAATGTCCAGAAATTCTGTATGTGACACCAAAATGAGAACACACAGCTAATCTATCCAACAAGAAAGCTGAAAATGTATTTCATTGTCGAGTGGATGTAATGGAATGGTTGGAATAAGAAAATAATCCTGATACAAAAGGACTCATCTGGCTACTTACACAAGTAGCTATTCTAACAGGCTACTTGTGACTGCTTAAGATGGTGTGTCTCTAGACTTCTTTTTCCTTGTCTTCCTCCTCTTCCTGTCCTCCATCTGACACTTGGAAGCAGCAGCCTCAGCCATGCTATGACTCTTTCTGTGTTAGCTTGATAGACAAAACAATGTGATGATGAATTTTAGTGGAGCTTTAGAAGACACTGTCTGAAGTATATATGAACTTTAAAACATGCTTGACCCCTGAAAGTCAATACATACAAGAGTATGCAGCCCTAAAGTTACATAGTAAGCAGGAATCCAAGTTGTATGTATTATACAAACTTCAGTATCATTAAGAATTAGTTTCAGTATTCCGGTATCGTACTGCCAAAGCTTGATTTATTGAAACCTGATGATACACAACTTTTCCTAGTCTCTCTCTCCCCCTCCCCCCCTTACCCTGCCAGCTCTCTAATCAAAGTCCATGTAGTGTTCAACTGAGCTAATGTGCAAACAGATAAAGGGCTGATACCATCTGACACTCGACAAAAGCAAATACAACACAGTTCTGAATGTTCATCGGTATATTGCAGGAGCTCAGTTTCACATTTACAATATCAGTCCAGCCATATGGTAAGTTTTGACCTCATCTTTTTTCCCAGAATTTTATTTTTTTCACTTAAACAACTGCTAACTCTACCGTCACTTATTTTGGAAAACAATATGGCAGATTTTTAAACTATATCCAACCTTGTGGTTCAAAATTAGAGACAGGGGAAGGTCACCTCTGTGATTGGTGGTCTGGTTTAGATCTATACCAATTATGTTCTCTAATGTTAGCATTTCTTCATTTTCAACACGGCTAATATATGAAGTCCAAAATCATGCCTTTATAAAATCTTGCAGATTTTTGTTGATCATCATGAACTTCCCCATGTCCTTGTTAAAAAAGCCAACCCCAGCATATTCAACACTGTTGGGCTCAGAGTCTGGCAGCAGACACACAGGCAGACAAAGCTGGTGGAGTGAGGTTGGGGGGAAAGGTGGGGAGAGGACTTGAGAGAGCAATGGGGTGGGAGGCGGGGAGGGAAATCTAAAGCTGGGGTGAGGTCTCAGAAGTGGAGGGGTGGTGGGATTGGATGGGTGTGTTAAGGTGATAAAAACCTTTCATGACATTAGGGTCTGTGAGGTTCCGCGAGCAGATCATTGAGATCATAGCATGGAGCCTATCTTCTTCTTCCTCGTCATCGTCCAGCGACGGAGCGCGGCTGCCCGTGGTGTGGTGGTAATTTATAGTGACTGCTTGCACCAGTGGGACAACAGAGAACACAGTTAGAAGAGTTCTGTCCTACAAGCCTCAAGATGTGCATTGTGGGGTAGCCAGCACACTACACCCAAACCTTGTAAACACGTCATAGGAAGATAAACTTCAAACACGTACACTTATTACTGAGATAAGTGTTACATTGTAAATGAATTACTTACTGGCGTCGTAGTGGTATCCTGGGTAGACAATGCGAAACACATAGTCAGCAGCTGTCTGCTCCTCCCCATTCCTGTCCTGGTCTATGAGCCGGGCAGCACTGCTCCTCTTCCTCAGTTTTGGGAACACTTTTCCCTGCAGGACACAGACAAATTCATAAAAATACAAAAAATACACAGTGAGCCAGACAACACACAAAATGACATTACACAATAAGAAATAAACACATTTTTCAGATGGTAGCTGCATCTTTTGTAGACGACAAAAGGTGACTTTAAAATTAAGGTCTTCAAGGGTCCAGATATTACTGACATGAAAAAAAACAACTCTATTCCCTATCCCCGTTTAAACCATTTAGTATGATTGTACTTGAATGTAACAGTGAATCCTACAGTGATGCTGAACACACTGGAACCTATAAAAATAATAGACAAAACAAACAAATAAAAAGAGCAACTTCATGTATTTGACATGTAAATACACACAACAAAACCAAATTCAGAGGTTGCTAAATTGGATTGAATAGAATCCTCACTATTTGCTAATAACAGCTCAGTGTACATCGGCAGTACTGACATTAACCAACCATTTATATAAATGTAGCTATTACTCATTTATACTTATTTATTAAAATGTTTTTTTGGGTGATACTATTGTAATCAGAGAACTTCACCACATGGAAGTGCAGGTGTAAATTTAAGACTGAATAAAAAACTTCTGTGGAGTGCGTGTGTGTGCGAAGAGAACGCATACACGCCCAGGACACAAGATGGCGAGCCAAACCTGCGGACTCCATTTCTAGAGACTGTATATCCTTATCGTGCTAGTGAGGGGATCCACTGCACGAGGATGGACTGTCGGTAAACCCTGCCAGAGCGGTAAGAGTGTTGGATTATATTTTTCCCCCTTTGAACTGAACTTTGATTTGATCTGGAGTACAAGAAACTGAACTCTGAACTGAAGTACTGATCTTTGAAGTGTTTTGTATTTTGTTCTTCATAACTGTCATTGTTGTGATTAGAGGTATAAGTGTTATGCTTTGATTCAGAAATGTTTGATAAATCTCACTTATGTGAAGAGGAAAAAGAGTTAACTCAGGAAGATAATTGAACAAAAATAAATTGATCTAAAATAAGATAGTAACAGACCGGTCTAATATAACTAATCTATCTAAACTAAATAAACCATCTAACTAGGGTGGGTTATCTGAACTAAACTATCTCCAACCTAGGAAAATAAACTGAGGTAAGAAGAAAAGAGGTGAAAGTAAAAAGATTTATTGTTGATACCTGCAGGTCATTGAAGTGTTAAATGTGTGTTTTACCTTTTGAATATTTTCAGTAAAGTGCCGGCTTTTGTATTTAAAGTACCTGGTCTCTGGCTCAATCTTATTTGTTACCCCACTCCATTAGAACCTAGAACTAGTCCAGTAGCGTAAATATTGTGTATTGGTGATACATGTGCTACACAAGTTATCAGCAAGTTTGAAAACAGCTGTAAAACCCGATATATTTTTAGACAGTTTTTGCCCTATCGACCTTCATCAAATAACTTCATTAATTTCTTCATCAAAGCCGTCCACCTGTCTCTTAGATCCCATCCCAACCAGGCTGCTCAAGGATGTTCTACCTCTAGTTTTTTGACTATAATTAATCTGTCTTTATTATCAGGATTTGTACCACAGTCCTTTAAAGTAGCTGTAATTCAACCTCTAATTAAAAAGCCCACTCTAGATCCAGAGGTTTTAGCCAATTACAGACCAATATCAAATCTTCCCTTTCTCTCTAAGATCCTTGAGGAAGCTGTAGCCAATCAGCTGCTTGACTTTCTCAATAAGAACAGTTTATTTGAGGATTTTCAGTCAGGATTTAGAGTGCATCATAGCACTAGTCAAAGTTACAAATGACGTCCTAATGGCATCAGACAAAGGACTCATCTCTGTACTTGTCTTGTTAGATCTCAGAGCTGCATTCGACACCACTGAGCATCAAATTCTTTTACAGAGACTTGAACATCAAATTGGCATCAAAGGAACCGCCTTAAGCTGGTTTAAGTCCTATTTTTTAGATCGATCTAAGTTTGTTCATGTCAATGAGGAATCCTCCACACATACCAAAGTTTGTCACGGAGTCCCACAAGGTTCTGTGTAAAGGCCACTTCTATGCAGTTTATATATGATTCCTTTAGGGAACATTATTAGGAATCACTCCATTAATTTTCATTTTTATGCCGATGACACCCAATTATACTTATCGATCAAGCCTGATGAAACCAATCAGTTAACTAAACTTCAAGAATGTCTTAAGGATATAAAAAGTTGGATGACCTATAATTTTCTGATGCTAAATTCAGACAAAACTGAAGTTCTTGTAATTGGAACCAAAAACCTCAGAAACTCTCTTTCTAGAGACTTAGTTACTTTAGACGGGATCACCCTAGCCTCCAACTCCACCGTTAAGGATCTCAGAGTTGTTTTTGATCAGGATCTATCCTTTAATGTCCATATAAAACAAATTTCAAAGACTGCTTTCTTCCACCTACGTAACATCGCCAAAATTAGACGCATTGTTTCTCAAGCGGATGCAGAGAAACTAGTCCATGCATTTGTTACTTCTAGTCTGGACTATTGTAACTCTTTGTTATCAGGTTGCCCCAATAAGTCTCTTAGGACTTTGCAGCTAATTCAGAATGCTGCTGCATGTGTTCTAACAGGAACCAAGATCAGAGATCACATCTCTCCCATTTTGGCTTCTTTACATTGGCTACCTGTTAAATCTAGAATAGAATTTAAAATTATCCTCCTCACATACAAAGCTCTTCATGGGGAGGCACCATCATATCTAAAAGAGCTCATAGTACCTTACTACCCCTCCAGAACACTACGCTCTCAGAATGCTGGGTTCCTTGTGGTTCCCATAGTCTCTAAAAGTAGATTGGGAGCCAGAGCTTTCAGTTATCAAGCTCCTCTTGTGTGGAACAAACTACCATTTTGGGTTCAGGAGGCAGACACGGTCAACACTTTTAAGACTAGACTTAAGACTTTCCTCTTTGATAGAGCTTATAGTTAGGGCTGGCTTAGGTCACCCCTTAGTTATGCTGCTATAGGATTAGACTGCCGGGGGGACAGCCCCCCCCCTCTCTCTCTATTATCATCCCCATCTCTAAACATACATGTCTCATTAATGCATGTTACTAACTAAACTTCTTCCCTGGAGTTTCTGTGTTCTCTCGTCCAGCGGGTTCTCATGTATGGCTGCTCCCTGTATTGGATCGTGGTTCCCACTACTGCCATGGCCCTGCCTGACATCCACTCTTGTTATTACTATTAGTCATAATTCTATGACATTAATATTAACTTGTTTATTATTGTTGCATTGTTATATATTACCACCACTGCTAGCCACTGCTACTGTAATCATTGTCTTTCATTGTAATTGTACAATATGTTTCTGTTGCGTCGTTCTGTACACATCCATTGCACGTCTGTCCGTCCTGGGAGAGGGATCCCTCCTCTGTGGCTCTCCCTGACGTTTCTTCCACCTTCTTTTCCCTGTTAAAAGGGTTTGTAAAGCCCTCTGAGGCAAAATGTGTTTTGTGAATTTGGGCTATACAAATAAAATTTGATTTGATTTGATAAGGTAGTGTGTGTTTGATATGTTTTGTGGGATGAGAGAAAACTGTTAAGATTCTCAGTCATCCAGGTCATTGTGTCTTCAGACATTGTACAAAGTGTTCATAGACAACTGGGGTCTAATTGTCCATGTACACTTATACTTTGAGGAGAGGGCTGATGGGAGAATTGCATTCTGTGTGTGTGCTGCATGCTCATACTAGCTTTTCCAGGTTTACCAACCCGAGCTTTATTACCAGGTGTACATGTAATCAAGCTAAACTAATGGAGATACAATCTGGATACGGGACAAATTTTAATGCCAGGTGTAATCCTGAAATTTAAATGTGAGTGCAGATGTAACACTGACACACCTTGCCTTTCTGGGACCAGAGAGGGGGTTCCAGTTGACCACGTGGTAAGAGGCCTGTTTCTAGGCAAGAGAGGAAAGCCAGGAGGTGACCACCAGGGGGGAAGTGAAGGGGCGGCCTCTGGATCCCATCCTGACTTACCAGAACTAGTGTACCACCACAATCCGCTGAAAAATATTACACAAGAATGAGATAGGTAGAGAGAAATTGCACGGCTGACATATAATCAAATGTAAAAATGGAGAGTTGAGAAGCGGTCACGACAACAAAAGATTGAAAATGACACAAGTCACTGATGCAGCATAACAGGACTGTGAGGGAGGGTTGTTTGGGAGCAGCAGCAGTGGTATACTCACAGCGTTGATGGCAGTGGATGCAGACAATCTGGCGCAGAGGAACAGTCAGTGCATAGTCCCAGTAGATACTTAAAGATACGTAAAACATGTTTTGGATTAGTAAGACAAGGTGGAAAATGAAGCTTTAGTGTATAGATGATCACAAGGTTATCTGATATATATATATATATACACAGTATATATACCTTTTCTCCAGGTCACAGTCTCCCAATGTTCCATTGATGAGCTGGTTGGGGGTCCATTTCAGAGTGAGGTTATCCCCAGCCTGGTGGAGCGACAAGTAGCCCTGCAACACCTCCATCTCCTTCTTCTACCGTGGGAAGAACATGAGGAAGAAGTAAGAGAGAAGGAGAGAGCATACAACTAAAAAAAAGTATATTAATGGTTTTAGAGAGTTTTAAGCTGTAATACAATTGACAGAAAATATATGTTACTAGTCTTGTACTCATCAAGACTATCATAGCTCAAACCCTGGATGAATTGAACTAAAACTATCAACACAACCAGATACCACTAAAGGTAAACTTGTCCTCATTGACCCTTGATGTGAGTTGGATTGAGATGGATTTTTTTGATGGTTCAGGGTGTTCTGTATCAAACCAGATCCTCTGTTTGCTCTGAGTACATCATCTGTCAAAGCTCATTTATAAAGACTGGGACTGTATAGTGAGAATTTTTACTTCTGGGGGATTATTGTATTTTCTATTATTATTATTATTACAGGGTAAGAGGGGGAATGTGCCATAATACCGGTTGCACCAGGACGTTGTTTTTGCCGTAGAGAAGATGTGTTCTGGAGTTTTGGTGAAGGGACTCCACATACTCTCTCGCTGATGCAGCAAACCTGTCCTCTGACATGCTGCCACTGGACTGTCTCTTGCGGATCTAGAATAGCAAAGACGGTTTTTAATGCCAAACTTAACAGTACAAAAATAATAGCTTTTCCAACTCCTGTCCCACATATCCTCAGCGATCACCCACCACCAAACACCAACACTTCCTGAGGACTGAGCTTATCTAAATCAGCCTCTAAACTCACCCCAAGGGCAGGTCGGCGGCCAGCCGTGGTGTCCTGACTCCGGTGGGCCCCATGTATGCGGTGGCGCTGGACTAGCTCATTAGCTGAGGGGTCGGTCCATAAATGATCCGATGTCTTCAGCTTGGTGTACTCCAGAGCACAGGGCCCCACTGAAAATACATGCAGACATACATGATACACTGTTAAACACATATGTGATCCCTCTATTTAAACCCCTTTTGAAAGTTACTAAGTTAGAACTGAGGTACATTTTTACTAAACTTAACCTAACTTAACTCCATATAAATAAGACATATCAGACTTTGGCTACACACATTGAGAAAATGACAGTTTGTTCATGCAAACAAATATGTCAGAAACAGGAAGCTATGATCTGATGCTGCACCACTGTTATGTCATATTTCCAAGCAGCCACAATTCTCTGTTTTTATGCTCAAGTACTGCCTTTAACATGGTGAGTCCCAGCTGTACAAGATACAATAACTCTAACCATGTTTTTACAATATGTCTTGTCCCATATTGTTATTTTTTTACATACACATTATTATTACACCTTAACATATCAATGTAGTTATTATAATCCTAGCAACTCTGCTTGAATACAAAGGCATGACTTACAGCAAAACACCAAACTCTGTACTTTCAAGGGTACCAAATAATGACATTAGTACTACTGAGCACTGTTTCACGTTGAATCAAACGGTGCCAAATTTGATGAAAGAGTAACAGAGCAAAGAGAGTAAGAGAGTGACGAATGTGATTCCAACCACCAGATCAATGGAGATTAGTAGAATGACAAGACTACAGCACAGACTGAGTATGAATATATAAAGATAATTATGCTTCTTGTGCTGATGACATCATTAGGGGCCAGTCTGTGCAGTGGCAATCGTGGAGTGGAGCCGCATTGTCGAAGTCACGCCGAAACACATGTTCAACGCGAGTCGGTCTCAGTTATCAATCATGACGTTTCATCCCCTTTCTACAACATCAAATAACTAATAACTAAAACCAAACTTATCGAGAAAGCTCTTGAACAACCATCAGTGTGACAAGAATTACTTAAAAGTACAGAAACCATCTTTGAGAAAAATTTATTTGACATGCACTTTAACTTTTGGTCAATGTCACATCCACTGACACTGACATCCAATTGCTCGCAGGGCGCTCCTCCGGGGCTGCCCATCACTCCACCATCTCTCCACATTTGCATGTCTATGAGCCCTTTGTGTGTGTGGGATTGTGTTTCAGGGTTAAAAAATGCATGTAAAAAAAATGAGTGTAAAAAGAATTTCCCCTTGAGGGATCAATAAAGTATCTCTATAGAGGAGGCAGGTTTATGACTTATACTGCAGCCAGCCACCAGGGAGCTATCACAATGAGGCAGAGCGACAGCAAGCCAAAATCAGTCACAAGTGTGGTTATACTTTTTCAAAGGTCTATGCAGGCAGAGCTTGACGACACTTTTGTGACGCCAAATGCAAAGCTGACCAGGAAAACACTGCGGCGTCAGGCTAAGGTTAGCACAATAGTATGTTTTCATTTCAGCAGCTACAGCTGAAGAATCCATCATGGACAATAAAACATTATACCAATTGATTCATGAGCTCTTTGGATAAAGTTGGTGATGACATGGTTGACATTAGCTTTTACTAGTTAACACCCAGTTAGTGGCTGCATCCAACATTTGTGTTGTCTGAAAGCTTTGTGTGAAACAAGTAGTTCACAAATGCCATACTATTTAAGTGAAAATCCTACATTGTGCACTCTAACCACGGCTGTAGTGACAATGACAAATCTTACACCTACAGAGATAGTAAAGTATGGGTTATCGAAAAAAACTAATGCTGTCATATTGGTTCAAATGTACTTAAATTTGGAAGCATGCAAATTGATATTACTTATCACGTATCAAAATGCTGAAATGAAAAGGTTATATAGAAGTTAAGGTTCCTGTGTCACATAGTGACTGACATCTATAAAATTATAACCATCAGGGATAAAATCCACCACCTCCTCCCAATGAATAGCACATACATAGAAACATTTTCTGGTCCTGAAACCATAGAACCAGATTTATGTTTGAACCAATTTTCTTCTATTGACCTTCCTGAACTGACCTCATTAGTTTCATCATGTAAACCAACAACTTGTCAATGAGACTCGGTCCCAACTGGACATTTTAAGGACATTTTCCCCCTGATTGACAGTTCCATATTCAATCAGATTAACATGTCTTTGTTAACAGGCTATGTACCACAAGCTTTTAAGGTAGCTGTTATTAAACCTCTGCTGAAAAAGCCTACACTTGATCCAGAGGTTTTAGCTAATTATAGACCCATATCTAACCTGCCCTTCATTTCAAAAATCTTAGAAAAAGCAGTTGCTAACCAGCTGTGTGATTACTTAGATAGTAACGGTTTGCTGGACAAATTTCAGTCAGGATTTAGAATCCATCACAGCACAGAAACAGCACTATTGAAAGTCACTAATGACCTTTTCATGGCCTCAGATGATGGACTTGTCTCTGTACTCGTCCTGTTGGATCTTAGTGAGGCATTTGACACCATAGATCACAAGATCCTGTTACAGAGACTAGAACAACATATAGGGATCAAAGGAACTGCACTAGACTGGTTTAAATCATATTTATCAGATAGATTTCAATTTGTTAACGTCAACAATGACCCCTCCATGCACATGCAAGTTAATCATGGAGTTCCACAAGGTTCTGTCCTTGGACCGATACTCTTCACCTTATACATGCTCCCCTTAGGCAACATCATGAGAAAGCACCACATACACTACCATTGTTATACAGTTGACACCCAGCTGTACATTTCTCTGAAGCATGATGAATCTAATCACTTAGTTCAACTTCAGGAATGTCTCAAGAACATCAAGGCCTGGATGACCTAAAACTTCTTACTTCTAAATTCAGACAAAACTGAGGCCGTTGTAATCGGCCCTAAACATCTTAGAGAATCACTGTCTGAACAGATACAGTTACATTTGATGGTGTCAGCTTGGCCTCCAGCTCAACTGTGAGGAACTTTGGAGTTATGTTCGACCAGGACATGTCATTTAACAAACACATAAAACAAGTCTCTAGGACAGCTTTCTTCCACCTGCGCAATATTAACAAAATTAGAAACATCCTGTTTAAGAAGGATGCTGAAAAACTAGTCCACGCATTCGTTACCTCTAGATTAGATTACTGTAATTCCTTATTATCAGGATGCCCCAGGAAATCAGTAAAAAGTCTCCAGTTGGTCCAAAATGCCGCAGCACGAGTGCTGACAGGAACTAGAAGGAGAGATCATATCACTCCTGTCTTAGCTTCTCTACATTGGCTCCCTGTAAAATTCAGAATAGATTTCAAAATCCTGCTCCTCYCYTWTAAAGRCCTTAACAATCAAGCKCCTTCATARATCAAAYASCTGATAACACCATATTATCCAAATAGATCACTTCGTTCACAAAACACAGGCTCTCTTGTGGTTCCAAGAGTCTGTAAGATTAGAACAGGAGGTTGAGCATTCAGCTACCAGGCCCCTCTTCTGTGGAACCAACTCCCACTCTGGGTTCAGGAGGCAGACACCATCTCAGCATTTAAAGTTAAACTTAAAACGTTCCTTTTTGATAAAGTCTATAGTTAGTTCTGGATCAGGTGAGTCCTGAACCATCACTTAGTTATGCTGCTATAGGTCTAGACTGCTGGGGGAACTCCCATCATGCACTGAGCACCTCATTTCAGATATCTCTGACCCCGGAACCTCAGGACAACAACTTTTACTATTACTAATTACAATATCGCAGTAATTCATTATGATATCAAATGTGTCTGTCATCCACAGTAATTAATAGTCTTTACACTGTTGTTCACTTTTTAACTAGTCAGATCTGATACCTGATGGCGCTCAAGTGTCCCCGGTCTTTCTCGCCCCACATCTCCACTACTTCCCCCTCCCCACTATCCCTCTCTCTTCTCTCCCCTCTTTTCCACCCATCTCTCATCTCCTTCCCCCGTTTTCTTTGCTCACCCCAACCGGTCGAGGCAGATGATCGCCCACATTGAGCTTGGTTCTGCTAGAGGTTTCTCCCTTTTAATGAGGGAGTTTTTCCTCCACAGTCGCCAAAGTGCTTGCTCATTGTGGGAACTGTTGGGTTTCTTTATATTTTGATTTTAAGGTCCTGACCTTCTATGTTAAGTTCCTTGAGATAATGTATATTATGATTTGGCACTATACAAATAAAACTGAATTGAATTGAATCTACTGCACCAATGTGCAGCAACACAGTCTTCTTCCTGCTGTTGGCTTTCAGCTACTGCTGCTATACTCTGAGTAGGGCTGGCTCTGAATTGTATCCTCCAACCAATAGTTCTGCAAGAAGTTGAATTTGTTGAATTTCTACAATTGGTCTGTAATTCTTTCATATTAATACTTTTAATATTAATACTGTAGCTTTGTTCATTTTGATACTGATCTCTGGGAATTCTGTAAAGTTTTGCTGTTCAAGCACATGCTAATATACTTACCTAGCAGGGCTGCCAAGATGGGCCCGAAGACTGAGTCATGCATTAAAGCTTCTCTCTCGTAGTATTTACTGTAATGATAAGCACACAGAGAAAAAGAGGATGAAAGAAAAACATGATTAAATGTCATGCGTTATTGATCCCCCTGATCATCACAAAATTTAAACTGAAAACTGGTTTTTATATTGTGTTTGGTTAAAGATAAGTATAATCAGAGCTATGCACACACACTAACTTTACTACAAAAAATGTATTCATCTCCAAAGAGAAAAAAAATGGTTTATTCACTGCAAATGATGTAATGCAGCTCTGAAGATTGTTGTTCAGCATTAAATCAGTAACCCCAACTTAAAATATATGGCTGCATCGCATGCTGGGGCGAAAACCAGATTAATTGGTTATCCAGCTGACTATGGGTTTTACTCATAACTCATAAAAATAA